TTTTTTCCAAAAAAAGGCAATATAGATGTCACAAGATAGAACAGACATTTAAAAGTTCTGTTAAAAAGTTCAGTGTTGTTCTATCATAAAGAAAAAAAATATGTAAAAATGGCAAAAACCAAGACAAATTGCAGTTTCTCAAAGCTTCGTCCGCAGTTACTGTGGCTTTGGTGTCTGTAAATCCCATAATCTAGACAATTTCAGGGAAGTGTAAGAAACTCCTGCTTACTTAATCTAAGTATTATTAGCTGAGCCGATTGTAGATAGTAATTATAGATAGATAGTAACAATAGTTTGGATATTACTGTGCTAGTGCTAGCTAGACAGACAGATTTTGCAATTAAAATAAATTTGTTAAGCCATCTTAATAGGTTAAACCTCACAAAATAATACTTAATTAATTATCAATTACTCATATATTTCAACTTCAAGATTCTCTCATAAAGAAGACACTGAGACTGTAATTACTCCCTTTGCACTACTTATATATCTTTGTGATATATGGTGATTCTCTGTACAGTACCTGCATTTTTGGGGTCATAGGTCAAATAATTGGTCATGATTTTTAAGCCATGAAAATTACTTAGAGAATACATATTTAATAAGCACATAACTGCTGTTCTACCTAAAACATATTTGGAGGGCAGAATAGGTGAACTATTTGTTGACCTGGACCAGAAATATAGTTAGATATATAGTTAGCTTTAGCTTAGCACAAAGAACAGACTGGAGAGAGAACCAAATGCAGGAATCAAAAGTTCATTATTAATCTTATATTGTCACTAATCTATAATTTACAAAATCACTTCATAAAAATCATCACAGCAAACACTGAAACAACAATGGGTTTTCATATAGTATACTCCCTTTTCTGAATTCAAATTCCTTTTTATTTGGTTTTAACTTGTGACCTCTGTTCTTTGTTGACCCTTTGTTTGGATATGTTTTGAGGTTTGCATTTGTAATTTTGTGTTGAGTCTTTTTTGTGGTTCTGTTTTATGGTCACAAGCTTTATACAGTTATTTTGCAGAGCGGGTTAATCAGTAAAGGAACTGACGATTTATAAACTGTAGATGAGGTAGTGAGAAAGGGAAGTGATAACATGAACATTAATCAAACATCATTTTCTCACACATAAGTGACTGTGGTGGTAAAGGAGCAAGTGAATGGTGAAAGTGAAGTCCCTCATTACATTACACTTTGTTCTCATATAAACTGCTGGCCTGTCTTATTCTTTGCACACAGAAAGACAGCATTTTACAACACATTTAAGTGTAATACATGATTTATAGGTATATCACACATAATTAGGTATTATATAGGCACCTACACCCGCAGTTCATTAGTGATTAAATCCAAACCGACACTTTAGTGACAAATTTAGACAAATTTAAAAACCAAAGCAGTTTTTTTCCCACTGTCTGCCGGCTAAAGCCTAAAACATTTAGCGTGTCGAAACACAAAGTGTAAGTAACGTCTGTATGACCCAAGAAGAGACTGAATCACTGTTGTATGACATCAATCTATCAACCTTACAGAGAAGCAAAATGCCCCAGCACTGTTATTTTGAAATACTGTCTATATAAAACCGAAGGGGATTTTTTTTAAGCTATTGCATCAAATAGCCACGTGACTGTAAAGTTACAGAAACTAGCAAGAGACAGCTAGATTTCGAAAGTACCCAACCAAAAAAGTGGTTACTTTTACTTTGTTGCAAACCAACCTTTTGTCAAACTATAAAACCTGATGAGTTAGTTCAACTTAAACTGAGGAAATCAATATATATATATATATATATATTATAAATATTTAATTTGTCCACGAGTAATTCAAGTATTGTTAAGCCAAGGTAAATTAAGTTGTACTTAAAAACTATTAAGTACGGTATATTACACTCATATGCTGCATTTCTCCAAACTTATAGAATAAAGTAAGACTAACCTAAATATATCTTCTTCATAGATTTACTCAAATTTCTTCCACTTAAGCAAATGATTACACTACCTGTCAAAACAGCTGACGTAAGATAAAAAGCTATTTACAATTAAACGATTATCAGAATGGTAACTATATAATTTGGGGGCTGACATTTTTGTTCACTCCACCAAATTTATTTGATACCATTAGTTACTTTGTAGATTCATGTCCAAACACCCTGTATTACTTATTTATGTCGAAGAATATATGTTGTGTATGAATACATTATATTCTGCTCTATTCTACAACATATTTTATGTCTCAGATCAATCTACTTTGAACCCACCAGCATTACACAGAAACTAATTACCATCAGACTCAAGCCCACGCTTAGTCTCCTTCTTCACCTGTTTGCTAATGAGCCACGTCTCTACCTCATGTAGTTTTAATGAATTTCAGCCGTAAAATGTCTTAACAGTCCTTATTTTCTCTGGCTGAAGGTACTGCATTTACCAAACAGCAGAGAAGAGGATGTTTATCTTTGCTTGTTTTACACTAGTCATGTGTAGACTTTCTAGAGGAAATAAGTAAAACCACAACTCCCTGAATGAAACAAAAAATAACTAAAAAAGGGAACAGAGGATAGCCTCCCAACAGTAACATCGATGAAGATTTACCAACAATGTATTAATGTATGTATCATACATTTATCATCATTATTATCTATCTAAATTTACGAGCTGTACGGTAAAAAGGTGCATTCTGAAAAAAATTAAAGACAAATCTTGCTCAAACCAAACGTTTTCTTTATTTTCCTCAAATGATTGTTTATATTGAAAGCTAAGAGGTTTAAATATGATGCAGTTGATCACAAGAAACAGCCTACCCTGTCATCTAATCTCACTTCCTCACTTGATTTATGAGGAAGAGGGCAGCAGCAGCAGCAGGCAGAAGTGTTTATGTCTTATGTACACTGTAGATTACATTTTCCACTCGTTTGATCTGAGAGGAACATTTTAATCGAACAAAGGAAGAAAATTAAATTACAAGATTCTGTGGATACGGCATCCATGATTATTCTGCTCTACTTTGTGTGACACAGTGAGTATTAAACAATTGTGTTTTTATTCATTGGTTTATTATTAGTCTTAATAGATTATAGAAACTGCCTGAGCTCAGATGTTATTTTTTTCCTGTTTCCACAATGGGTAATTGCCCTTACCTACCTTATTTATGATAGTGTGCAAATTATGATTGTCTTTTTTATTTTTGTTTATTTTATTGGATTTTCAGGATTACCTTCTACAGTTTTCACCAAGTGGACTATACGTGATTCTTTGTTGGTTGGACGAATATTTAAAAAATGGGTCCTGGAGTGAAGGAAGACCAAACAATGCCAAAAGGAGGATTGAAATGTTACAAACTCGGTATTATTTTCTTCTTGCTGAATGTCAGCAATTTCGTTGTTCCAGGCACAGGCTTTGCAATGAGATCTTGCCGAATCAGTTACGATATCGCCATATGTAAGGGTGGGCTCAGAGCTGTTCCTCGGGATGTTCCTTCAACAGTGAAAGGTTTCGACTTGTCTTCAAACAAAATTTCTAAAATACAGGTATCAGATTTCAAAAGTCTATCACTTGTGACACAGATAGACCTAAGTCGCAACAACATTTTGCAGATAGATACAGGTTCCTTTGCTGATCTGATTTCCCTCAAGAAGTTAAATCTTAATAACAATAAACTTGTTGAACTTGCAGATGATGTTTTTAAGGGTTTGAGCAACCTCACAGAGCTAAGGATTATCAGTAATAAAATCAAAGTGGTGGCGTCCACCTCTTTTAGGTCCTTGACAAGCTTGAAGTTTTTGGACATGTCTTACAACAAACTGGACAACTTAACAAAAGTTAATTCTATATTACAGCACTTGCCAAATCTACGAGTTCTGATAATCAAAAACATCTATTTAACTACTTTTCATTCATGGGAACTGACAAACAGCTCGCTAGAACTGACTTCCCTTGATTTGTCTCAAAATCCCATCACCAAATTTAGTATCACTGAAGATGTTTTTCCAAATCTCACCTGGTTTAATATCGGCGGCTACCAGAAACCCATGACATGGGATGTGCGTAACAAGACTTTTCTTAGTCGAGTGTCTTCTCTTGATGTTAGTGGGCTTCAAGTGACGTTTGAGGACATGAAAACATTACTAGAGAGTGTCAACTCCTCTCTGAGTTCTATAAGAATGTATGCAATGAAATATAAACCTACAGCTCTTATCAATGTTACCTGCACTATCCCAACAATGTCCACACTCAAATTCCGACGTAACAAACTCAGTTTTATCAGCTCCAGTTTGTTTCATTTGTGTATTAACGTTACAGAGTTAGATGTAGGAGAGAATAAAATTACAACCATAGAAGAAGAGGCCTTCAGATCTATGAAACGTTTAAGGATCTTGACTTTGAGTCATAACAAACTCTCAAGTGTTCCAGCTGCCACAAAGAATATACCAACTCTTGCAGAGCTGGATCTCAGCTCTAATAACATCACCGGGCTTAAATGTTCCGATTTTGCCAATCTGACAAAACTCAGACAGCTCAATCTATATCTGAATCGGATTACAACTCTAGATAAGTGTGTTTTCAAGGATTTAAAACAATTGGAAGTTTTAAAGCTACAGAACAACCGTATCTCCAAATTAAACAGCGCTTTCAAATACTTGCAAAGTCTTAAACAACTTCGTTTGAATGGAAATAAAATCAGCACCATTAAACATCGGGAATTTATGGGCTTGCGGTCCCTCCAGAACTTGTCATTACATGACAATCAAATAAAAACACTTAAGAATGGGTGTTTTATTGGATTAACAAATCTTACCGATATTCAGCTACAATCTAATGACATTAGAACAGAAGAAATAAACGGTGCTTTCAATGATCTGATTAAATTAAGAAGACTGGATTTGAGGAACAATCACATCAAATATGATAGTAGTTCAGCTCTGTCTTCTCCACCATTTTCTGAGCTGTCCCATCTGGAGACTTTAGCTATACCAGCACAACACAGCAGGGGGAAGGCCCATCTGCCTTGCAACATCCTGCAAGGTTTGACAAATCTTTTGGTTTTTAATACCAGGAACAGTCAACTTTTATCCTTGCCCAGAGACATGTTTAATTACACACCTCAACTGCAAACGCTTGACGTTAGCTCAAATGACTTTGTGGATTTCTCTCCGGATATATTTTACCCAATTCAAAACCTTAAAAGCCTCTACATATCTAGAACAACTCTTCGGTCCCTAGATTTCCTTAAGGATGCTGGCCTTACTAAGCTGGAGTTCATGCAGGCGAGAAAGAATGAATATTCAGTTATCAGTGAGAAAGTAATGGACTCGCTACCATCTCTCATTTATGTAGACTTTCAAGGCAATAGTTTCACTTGTGACTGCAATAACGCCTGGTTTCTCAAGTGGACTGTAAACAACAACAAAACGCAAGTTTTTGACGCTTACAACTTTGAGTGCAACTATCCTACAGAGCTAAAAGGAACAAAACTGTTGGACTTTGATACCCAGTTCTGCACAGTGCAAACCGAATTCATCTGCTTTGTATCCACCACATGTATAACCCTCCTGTTTATGGTGGCGTCCTTTACGTACCATTTCCTGAGGTGGCAGCTGGCTTATGCCTACTACTTCTTCTTGGCTTTGCTGTTGGACACAAAGAATAAAAACAAGCAAGTTCCTAATCATTATGACGCCTTTATCTCCTACAACACCCATGATGAACCATGGGTCATCAGAGAGCTGTTGCCAAAACTGGAAGGAGAGCAGGGGTGGAGATTGTGTCTGCACCATCGAGACTTCGAGCCAGGTAAGTCTGCCCTTTTCATCTGGCATTAAACTACTTATTTTCTTTGTTCCAGCTGAGCTTTAATGGACAATCCTGAATTCAAAATGGAGACTAGATAGTAATAACAATAATAATAATAACTTTATGTATATAGCACAATTCCTGCATACGATGTAACACAATGTGCTTAACATCATAATCATGACATTTATGATGAAACAATGTAAACAATGAAAATAAAATAAAATTGAATTAAAACAGTAGGACAAGACAAGATAAAAAACACTAGTAAAAAGCAATAGTAAAAAGATGTGTCTTTAGATTTTATTTGAAGGTGCCGACAGATTTTGAGGCCCTAAGACCTTCAGGCAGACTGCTCCAGAGTGTAGGAGCATAAAGAAGATCTCTGTGCCTTTTAGTTCAGACCTGTACCATGATTGTACCACTGACCATTCTGTATGAGCTGTCACTGACTAATAGCTTTTGTAACTGGCACTAGACAGAAGATCGTTACAGTAGTCCAGCCTGCTGGAGATAAAAGCATGTATTAACTTTTCTGTGTAAGCCTGGGAGGGAAACGGCCTGACTCTGGCGATATTCCTTAAGGGATAGAAAGACACTTAATAATAACACCAACATATATATTTACCTGTACCTTGGTGTTAACTGTGAATAATAATTTTCCTCTCAATTTTTGCACCTAGACTAGCATCTCAGTTTTGTCCTGATTTAGTTCTCAGAAGTTCTGAGTCATCCACTGTATTCATTAGAGCTTACAGGGTATATATAATGATACTAATTAAGGTTTCCATTTCCATTTAGTGTAGCAGAATATTTCCAGTGAGCCAATATGCACAACAGCAGCACAATGACTCTGTTTGACCTGAATGGAAAGGAACCTTAATTAGTATCACTAGTAACACCTGTGTTTATCCTACTACTTCATCTCAAAATGGCTGCTGTGAAAAAGGTCTATTGGCTTTAGGGATGGCAATGTCGGTCTGTCTGTCAAACTCAAATTCAAAGAATTAATTTGTCAAACAACAAATTAAAGACAACTTTCTTCCATGGATATAAGAATAAATAAGATAATTCTATGATGCTTTCTAGAAATTGTTATTTACCTTCACTTTGTTCAGTATTTCTGCATACCAGGATACCTTATGTATTGAGGCTGAGGTTCATAAGCCATTAATGTACTTCCATCTGTACTCCAGTAGATGTCACCATAGTACTTTTTGTACTGCACTCTCAAAGGAATGAATTAAGAGGAAACAGATTGTGATTTCATGTGTTGGCCCTTTTTCTTTTGTCTTCCTCAGGTAGAGCCATCATAGACAACATTACAGATTCCATCTATGGAAGCAGGAAGACCATCTGTGTAATCAGTCGCAAATACCTTGAGAGTGAGTGGTGCTCCAAAGAGATCCAGATGGCCAGGTAATGTATCAGCTGACACATGGCAGTATAACACCTCACTAACTCTGTATTAAGGATGCGCATCTCCATCACCATCACTGCCAACGATCCGATGCATTAAAGATTAATATGAAGCGACTAGCAATGCGATACAATTCCCCCAGACACGATGCAGTGCGATTCAACATGATTTGATTCAACACAATGTGATTCAGCTTGATGCAATGCAAAATAATATATCATCATAGCAATTCAGTATGGTACAGACAGATTTTAGTTATTTGGTTCTTCTTCAGCAGCTTTTTGAGCTTGGGGTCTATATAGTTACAATAAAACAAAAAAGTCTATCAGTACAAGAGGAAACAAAAAGGTCTAGTATGTCTATGTCACTCTGACTTGGCAGGTTATTTCTAAGGAGACAGAAATAATGTTCTTGGCAATCTAAATCCAAGTTTCCCTTTATATACACACACATCAGTTTATAGAAAATATGCAAAAGAAAATATGAATTTATTTGTGTTTCAATCAGTTACTATTATGCCAATATTAGGAGTTGGTTCATCGAGATAAACAGCTGGTGGCGCCAATTCTCTAGTTGGGTCATCAAATCACATGCTTCATGTCCATTCACTAAGACTGTTTCCATTGCACTGCATACTTTCCAGTTGCTCCACTCAGGGTTTCTTTTATGTGCAAATTAATAATACACCAGTGACTGGAAATGTAAGTTTGTGTCACTTTAAATGTGTTTTTGCTTAAATTTTGCTTTAAACTGATTAGTTGATTAATCAGTTTTGATAGCCATTCATGCTCGGGTTGTTTATCAAGAAAAAATTATTTCACCTTCACAAATCTGAGGATTTGCTGCTTCACATAATTGAAAATCAATACCGTTGTAACTGTTGCTCAAAAAGAAAAAAGCAATTTAAATTTGTCATATTGGCATCTACACTGTAATTAATTTTCCTGT